TTTTTTTTTTTTTTTTTTTTTTTTTTTTACCCGGAAGAATCCAGTTTCCACCCGTGGAATTATTATACGTAACCGCGTGCGAGAGATGGAATGTAAATCCATGCGAAAAAGGCTATGCGTGTGCGTGTCTTTTTTAATGTGTGCTTTTTCGTACGCGTGAATGTTTTCGAAATGCACATGTAACTCGTAAGTGCTACATTTTTTCTTCTTTTTTTTTTTGAGGGGGGAGGGGGAGGAGGCAAGGAGGCAAAAGAAAAGAAACTCTGTTGAACAATCTATCTATCGATGTATTTTTTCTTTTTTTACCGGAACTTCTATCCATTCCTTGTTATTCCCTACATTCTTCACAGGGACACAGGATTATTTTGATAAAATAATTAGACGAAGTTTCGATTTTTTTTTCTTTTTTTTTTTTTTAGAAAGAAAAAATCTAACATCGTTAGAATACTCGATCGACTCGATTTTTCATTTCACGATCCAAGTTTGGTAATTCTGCTTATCAAATTTTCTTTCCCTTTCTTAACTTCGGACAAAGTAAAGAGGTAGATATAAAAAGTTTTCCAGAATTAATTTCGCGCAATTTAATATTGTAATTTTTGCCCCAAAGTTTTGCCCCAACTTCTTGGTGCAAGACCTTAAAATATCGTGTTGAACTTGCCGATCAAACTCTCTCTCTCTCTCTCTCTCTGTCTTTCTCCACTTTTCCTTCCGTCATCTTCCTAACTATTCAAGAAGTACAGAATTCTAAGCGAGAGAACATAAAATCGAGTACCTTCTTTCTATCCCGCGATGATAAAATCGTACGAATATCGTGAATGTTTGAAAAATTACAAATAATTATTTTTTCATCGATTTTAATTCGATAATTTTCCATTAGCCAATTAACCTATCGAATCGAATCGAGCCTCGAATCATCATGGTATATTTGCCAATATTCAAGAGACACTGAAAATGAAGAGAAGGCGCAATATCGATTAAAAAAAAAAATCAATTTTTTCGCGAAGTTTCATTTAAAAAGGATTCTAAAAGATTCAGCGGATCTTTTAATTGCATCGCGCGCCATAATTAAGAATTTCCAGGCTATCCAATGGCGAGTTTCATTATTAACCATCCTTCCTTTTCTTTTTTTTTCTTTTTCTTTTTTTTTTTTCCTTCTCCGTTTCGATCCTCTATCGAATTTTATTCCTCTTTTACAAAACTTCCTCACCAACGTCGACTCTCGTTCTAATTTTATTTCACGAGAAACGAAACGCTCGGGATGAAAAAGAAAAGAAGAAAAGAAAATCGGAGAAATAAGTAGAAAATTCATAACGTTTAATTTTAGAAAACTCGTTGATGCAATTTTTTTTCTTTCGAGAGTGCGATTAAAAAAAAAGTTGAACATCCTGAAACAATGTGATTCCCCATCGATTATACCCGAATGAATATCGACTTCGTTCAAAAATATTATCTACTTTCAATCAACTTTAATCGAAAAGAAATTTTGAATCTTAAATCGATTTCCAAGACCATTAATTTTTTTCTCGATATTTTTGGAAGATGTATCTATTTATTTATTTATTTTTTCGCCAAATTGTTGATACGTTCCTCCTCGAGTGAATCGTCGATTTATCCACACGACGCCTTATTCCCCCTAAACTTGGGCGAAAGTTATCACGCGGCCCAAGGTAAACCACGAATTTTCACTTAAGATCGATAAAAGCTCGCCAACTGTGCGGCATCCATTCGAAAACTTTCCATTCTTCACCGCGGGTATCCCCGCGCTTAATCAACCCGCCATTTACGCCGAAGAATTATTAGATAATCGTGTCGAAAACTTTAAAACTCTCCCCCATTGAGAATCTCAGGGATGTGCAAACGAAGTCGTTTGAAATTGTTGGTCGAAGGGAGGAAAGTTGTGTGCGAAAATTCGAGGAAGGATTAAATTAAGGAGGGAGGGATTTAACGCGTGCAAATAGTTTCGTTTTCTCCCTCTCTCTTCTGTGTGAAAATTCGAAGAATTTGAACTGCGAAAAGAAATGGTATATTTCCAATCTTTTCGAGATCGGCTCGTAAATAATTAAGATTTCGATCGTTTCGAAATCTTAGATTTCGGAGGAAACTGCATCAAAGGGATTACAATTGAAAAACAATCGACTAAGCGGGCAAAGGAGAGTGGTTCGCGTGCAAGCCTGGATTCCAATCAATCTTGGTAGTCGTCTTAAGCAGCTTTGGCAACCGGCATCCTGTAACCGACAGGGGCGTAACACGATCTCAATCCCCCTTTGCAAGACGCGGAACCCCTTGCCACCGATCCAGGTAGAGGGGGTGGATTGGCAAGGATATATCCTGTTAATTACGCAATCTCGGCTTTGCCTATGACGTTAAACGTCCTGGCCAGAACCACCAGTCTGTTTCCTGACAGCTCGCAATTTCCCATCTAGACGAATTTCGAGACCGAGCAGGAATTTCCACGATTCCGCGATGCTTGTTGCTTATCCAGTTTGCAGTACAGGTCGAGACAGTCGAGAAATTATCACGAAACCTCGTCTCGAGTCGATCGCAAATAATCGAAATCTGATCCAAGGGCAAACCTTTTGTCCGTCATTCGAGATATTTCCAAGATTATCTATCCTCGCTGCAAATGAAACGTTTCCCCAGATTTTCGGAAAGATTAACGGGAGAGATAGAGACAGATAGATGTGCGCTCGATCCTTCAGATTTCCTCGATTCTCTCGAAAAGTTTTCAACTCGACGACGTCGCGTGGAAATTCTCCGGGGGATAAACTGAAAACGGGTTTTCGTTTAATCGTAGGGGAATCGAAATCGTTAATACATTCGAACGAGAGGAAGCGGCGATCGTTGCACTTGTGACACGAGAGCGTGTGTTCCTCGAAATCTAATGCGAATTTCTCGAGAAGTCGAGTCGAGCTCGACGCCTGATCATCGGCCGACTTTATCCACTTAAAACTTTCACTTACTTTACCGCTCAACTTTCCCGCAAAGGGAGAGAGAGAGAGAGAGAGAGAGAGAGAGAGAGAGTCAACAGGACTTATTTACCGACCGGAACTTCGAATATTGGGTTAAACTTTGTGGAATAGTTTATCGAAAAATGGCGAATAATTTAATGGGTCCCGTGGATACGGGAAAGGTGGAGAGTTGGCAGATCAATCGATCAAATCGGATGGAGAGCTGTGTGGAAAAATTTCCAAAGAATGGAATGTTTATGAAGAGGAACATTTTCTTTTCTTATTCTCGTGGGATTGATTTAGAATCAGGAAATGAATAATACGAGTAATGTCGAATAAATATAAAGTAAAGAGTTGAACGAAACATTTTATTATTATTTCGATGTATCAATAATGATGATCATCCTCCGAAAGAAGAAGTTGAAAAGTTGAAAATTACCATTGAAAGTGGTTATATCTACGTATACAGGCAAGACAGTTCGGGGTATAAAATGAAATGGTTGTTAGTTTTCTCCAAGAGTGAGTTTTCTTCTTTTTTGGCCAAATAAAAATCTATATCGGAGTAGCAGGGAGAGAGATAGAATGACTTCACGAAGGAAGAAAGCAGAAAGTTGCTCGACTAACATTTCTTCCACCGGAGGAAGAAAGTTGAGAATGTCGTCGAAGATCACAAAGGGACGAACATTAAGGGTTGATTTATGGGGAGAGGCGAAAAACTCACGGTCCAATGCGCTCTGATAAACATTATCCACGTTTCTCTTCGATTCTTTCTTCTTCTTCTTCTTCTTCTTCTTCTTCTTCTTCTTCTTCTTCTTCTTTTTCTTCGACTGCAACGTCTCCTTTTTGAGAATTCAATTTATAAAAATGTTTCGAGTTTTTAACGAATATCCAATATTACGATCAATTTTTACGATCTTAAGATTTTAAATCTTTGTATATTAAATACCATTTCGT